CCCAGCTCCTCGGCTGACTTCACAGAGCTGAATCTTCCCCATGAACCCCGCAAGGGCCTCTAGACTAACCACGGCTCTCCCAGGACACCCCGCGCCCTGCTCTGACCTTCCCTGCAATTAGACAACGTCTCTCCGTCAGCTGCAACTCAGGGGTTGATGAAGGCGTAAATTCAATGCAGCCTCAGCCTCAGCCCAGGCCTCGTGATGCCCATTTAGGGTCTCTCAGGACTCTGGAGGCTGCTGCTTACCTCAGCCCTTTTAAAGTTCCCCACGCCACCGGGGAGATAGCTCAATCCCAGGTTCTGCAAAAATAAAAATCAAATAAAGGTTCAGACTGGGCGTGGCGGTCAACCTTTCACTGGACCCCAAGCCCCACTATGTGGCAAAATATGTCAAAGACCAAATTCTCAAGGCCATTTCTAAATATGATGGCAAACCAGGGCTGGGGGGGGCATGCCTGTCATCTCAGCACTATGGGAGGCTGAGGCAGGAGGATCGCAAACTGGAGCCCAGCCTGGGCAACTTCTTAACTCCGAAAGAACCCATCTCAAAAATAAAAAGTAGAGAGGGACTGGAGTGGCAGCTCAGCGCAGAGGCCCTGGAGGGAGCAAAGTGGGAAGAAAGGACCCTGGCCTCTCCAAGGCACTGAGACACCAGCAAATGGACAGAGTTGCTGGCCACACTGCCACATGCCTACAAGCTCAGCACTTGGGAGGCTGAGGCAGGAGGATTGCTGTCAGGATAAGGCCAGCTTGGGCTCCATAGTGCCCCGTGAGACCCTGTCTCAATAAAACAAACAGACAAAAAATTAAAATAAAATAAAGGAATAGAGAGCTGGGAATAGACAAGGGGAGAAAGTATGCAAGACAGGGGACTCATCCTCTGGCCCAGACAGCAGTGTCGTCATGCGAGTGTGCTGTCCCTAACCTCCCCAGCATCGTCTCTGCCTTCTTACATCCTCCAGGTGTCTTCTACGGCGCTGGCCACACAGCCTGTCCTGGCCCTTCCTAGCAAGTAAGACCGGTAAAGTCACCATAAGCAATGCCTGATGGGGGCTTGAGGGTTAGCTCAGTTGTTTACAAGCCTGCTTGGCTAACCCAGTTAGGTGCAGGGGACCGCGGTCCAAATCCTAGACCAGGCCTTAAGGCAGCCTGAGCAGGAAAAATCGATGGGGCCAGGAAGATGGCTCAGTAGAATAAGCGCTTGCCTGGCAAGCGCAAGGTTTCCGCAAAAAAAAAAAAAAAAAAAAAAAAAAATCCTTCTGAACACCTCATCAGTCAGCTCTGTGTTCCCAGGCCTCACAGGGGATAACTCCATGTCCCAGCCAGCTAGGCATGGCTGTGTCAGACGGGCAGACATCTGGTGTGAGCAGACATGGTCGTAATGGTCGTAAGTCTTGCAGCAACACCTGCTGCTATGCTCGATTTTCTTTATTCTGCAAGCTGGAAAATAGGGCTTCAAAGACTCCAAAGGGACTCTTCTAGGCTGGCCCCCCAGCAAATGCCAGAGTGGGGATTATTGTGTTTTGGGTGTTATTTTTATTTTTTATTTTTTTGAGTTGTTGTTTTTTGGTAAAACGAGGGTGTTGAACTCAGGCCCTTGCACTTGCCAGGCAAGTGCTTATTCTACTGAGCCATCTCCCTGGCCCCTCTGTGGGGATTGAACTCAGGCCCTTGTGCTTGCCAGGGAAGCACTTATTCCACTGAGCCATCTCCCCAGCCCCCTCTG